GCAGCGCAGCCGCAGCCTGCAGTTTCCTTGGCGGCAACCGAAGTTGGTGATGTACAACAAAAGGAACAGCCCGCAGTGCCCACTTCCAAGCAGGAAGCAGAAAAGAGTGGCAGCGGCGAAGGACAGGCCACTCAGCCGCCAGCGGGGGCGGCTGCTCAAGCGGCGACCACCACCAACGCCACAAGTGCAGCGCAGGCGGCGCCCAGCGACAGTGACGGCAGCGGCACCGCGGCTTCGCACTCCGCCTCCTCCCTTGCGCTCTTTCTTCTGCTTGCGAGTGCGGCTGCCGCTGCGATGCTGGCCGCGTGAGAAGGATAGAGTAAGAGGGCCGTGTGCACGCAGCCCTTTCTTCTTCCTCTATTTGTGTGTTCCCCTGCACGGACTCTCTCGCCCTCGCCGCACCCCTCGAGGCAGACAACACATAGTGTGCCCCTGTATACACACCTCCACTCATGCAGGCCCGTCGGTTTTCTTTTCTTTTGTTTGCGCCCGACGAGCCGCTGCCGTCCTGCTTGGCCGCATGGGTACAGCACCGTAACTGTTTTTATCCTTTTTAATTGTTTGCTTGTTTGTTTCCTTTGCTTTGAGTGGGCGAGCTCTCTTGCTCCCTGGATTGGGCTGTGCGGGAACAGAGAGAACGTGTGTGTGTGTGCTGGTCGTCCCACGTGTTGCTATGCGTCCCCACTGCTGGGCGGACGCGTCGGTTCCACTTCACGGGGTTGCTTGTTGTAATTATCTGCTTGTGTTTGTGTTTGTTTTGGGTGCCTCCGCCCGTTTCACAGCTTGTGTGTGTGTGCGATGTTTTCTGCAAAGGAAGAGGGCAAATTTAATTTGGCTTCAGCCGACTGTTTTTTTGTCCATTAATTCTGCTTGCTTAACGCCGTGCGTGCGTGCGTGGGGCGGACGGGAGTAAATGCCCGGAGGCGGAGGCGCAAAAATCCGTCGTGCCGCGGCGCCGCGGGGATGTGTGGCTTTGCCTCCTCCTCGTCTTCTCATTCCCCTCCCGCAGACAAGCGCTGCGCTACCACCACTGCAGCCATTCTTCACCAAACTCAGGCACACAAAGGCTTTTCTCACGTCATGCACCACCGACTCCGCGCCGCGCCGTTTCTCCCACTGCTGCTGCTGCTGCTGACGGTGCACTGCGCTGGCGAGTGCCGCCCCGCTGCGGGCCGCCGGGTGTTCGACGACACGGAGCCGAAGAGTGGCCGGCCGGCGGCTGCGGTGGTGCGTGAGGTGCCGCGGAGGGGGCAGGGCGCGGCGCAGGCGTACACCGTCGCAGCGGCAGCGGCAGGAGGAGGAAGGAGCAGCGAGGACTGGGCGCCCATCCGCATCGAGGTGTCCATGGAGGACCTGGAGCATAGTATTCGGATGAAGGGGAAGACGCAGAGGTACTGCGAAGCAGCGGGGGAATACGTGCATCAACTACTTGGGGCAAGAAGTCAATTGCAAGGCCCGTGACGTACTGACGGAGCACAAGAGGCAGTTGTACACGAAGAAGATAATCCCCGAGGCCGTCAAGCTGCATGCGGAGCGACTTCTCGTGCGGCCAGTGACTGAGAACATTGTTGTGCCAATAAATCCCAAAGGACATTGCCGGCACTTTACAATTCCAACTGGGCACATGAAAGAGGAGTGGTGTGGCGGGTGCCGACATTGTCCCCTACGCCGCTGCCGGGCCACTCAGTCATTACATTCCAGCGTGGGCGGCCAAGTGCGCTACGTGGAGTGGCTTTTGCCCTTCCGTCGGCGCCATGGAGTTCAACCCGGCGTACATTGCCGAAACGGCGTGGAGCGTCCGCGTCGCCGCACACGAGCTGGCGCAT